GGGATTTACCTTTTCTGGTCTATGCGAAGATTTACACCAATTTGCAAAGTCAACTTCGAGACATGACAAATTGCAGTGTTGGACCATGGCTAGTTTCGGAGTATGGCAACAAAATTCTTGTCAAAGTTTAGACGCATAAGAAACCTAACATAGAATTTTTAGCATGGCAACACTTTTAACATAAGAAATCGCATTGCTAGACCATTGCGAGAGAAAAAAAATCAGATCTGCGGCAAATTTATTTTTAAAGCCATGGAAATTTACCTTTTTCTTGACCATAATAAGTTTACCTCCATTTCACGAATTCAAACTTTTGAGCGATGGCAAATTGCGTTGCTGGTCCATGGCTAGTTTTACATCAATGGCAAAAAAAATCAGAATGTAAGAAAACATATTTTCCCATGACAAATTGCATCGCCAGACCATGGAAATTTATTTTCAGAGCTATGGCAATTTATATCTTCCTGGACCACGACAAGTATTGCATCCATTTGCAAATTCAAACTTTCGATCCATGGCAATTGCAATGCCGGACCATGCTACTTTTACATGCACGGTTTTTTTAGACACGTCAAATCGTTGCTTCATATGGCAACATACGTGAATATTTTGAAAAACATTCGTCATGTATTTCAGAAAAAAGATGTCACTCATAAAAAATATTCATTGTATATTTAAAATGTTCATCACGTAATTTGAAAATTCATTGTGCATTAACACTTTTTACATTTACATGAACATTTTTTAAATTGCATCAACACTTTTTAAAAGGTGTTCGTCACACATTAGACAACCGTTTATCGTGTATTTAGAAAATGTTGATTGTGCGTTTAAAATGTGTTCATCACAAATTAGACAACCATTCACCATGTATTTAGAAAAATATTTATAGTGCGTTTGAAAGTGTTCATAGTGTAATTCAAAAACATTTACCATTCACTGAAAAGTTTTCATTGTGTAAGATGAAGGCAACAAAAATGAATGAAATCTAGCAAAACCATGACTCTCACGAAAGAAAAAAAAATAGAAAACATGTTTTTTTTTCGTTTCCAAGAGGCACGGCCGTGACTCTCGCGAAAGCATAACCGTGCCTCTCGCGGAAGCAAAACCGTGACTCTCGCGAAAGAAAAAAAACGCGTTTTTTTTTGTTTCCAAGAGGCACGGCCGTGCCTCTCGCGGAAACAAAGCCGTGACTCTCGTGAAAGGAAAATAATAATAATAAAACACATATTTTTGCGCAATTTTTTCCCATGAATTTTTTTTTGTCGAAAAGCTAGGGAAGACCGATGGAAAACCAAAACGTCGAAAACCCCCCAAAACCGTTTAAAAAGCCGAAAATGCGTACGGAAAAATAAAAAAACAAAATCCGAAGGGAGTGCCCAGAACGCGACATGTGGGGAATGATTGGAGCACGCAAAATGGTGCTCATCGTTGCGAGGCTCCCAAAGAAGCGCTTGTTAATTAGTTCCTCCCTCAAGTCGGTCCCACTTTTTTTCTCACCCCAACGGCGTTTGCGCACCACAGTTCAGGAAGGTCGGCATCCTGTTCCGACTGAACATGGACACTTTGCTATCATTCATTAGTTTTGCTATATGGGGCCAACACTGTATAGCTGTATGTGGACTATTTTATTCCGCTATCAATTAATGCCACGTCCGGCAACGAGCAGGAGCACGCGAGCTCGTCCGCGCTTTGGCCGTTCTCCTTCTGTGTGGGCCTACTTAGAATCTACAATGAAGAATAAGAAGGGTGCAATAACTAAGTATGCATGTAATAGTTTATTCTACTGAATATAGTGTTATACATACATTTTGGGGAAAATTAAGCAATGTTTAAATGTTGCATGGTTCAAATATTGGGTGTATGAAGATTTTTCTAGACAATAAAAATGCATAAATAAAGTCTCATGTGGCTATGTAATCCACTTGTTATATGGCAAGTTCGAGCTCCGAAGAACAGAGTGAAACTGTTTGTTCCGAAGAATAGATGTCATTGTTTGAGCTTTTCTTGTTCTTTCTTTTCTCTTTCCTACTTAGCCCTTTATATCTGAGAACTAAGGGATCTATTCTTCTAACCAGGAAGCAATTTAAGTAGCAAGTTCGTTTTCTGTTGGTTAGTTGTTTCACTGTTCTCCAACACTGAGCACTAATTGAGAACCAACCATGATTATCCATCCAATGATTTAGTTTGCTTTTTTCTTTTGTTAGTTTTCTAGTATTTTCTACCTAATGAAATCTATTTGCAGCTTTGACCTTACCAACGCCCGTGATTTGACTCTTGGTGTTTGTGTATTCTGAATATGACGGGTGGTGTGTACAGAGCCGTTGTTGGTGTTTATGAATTCTGAATGAACTACAGGCGGTCAATCTTTCTTAATGAATTTGTTGATGATTTGCATGGTTATTCTTCATTCTGGGTACATGGGTATTCTTGGGTCTGAGCCTTAGGCAGGCAGCAATGAGATCTAATTGCACTGTTTGGCGAGCCATTTAATCTGAAATCAGTCGTCCATTATGTTAAAAAAATATCCCAATAATTTTGATCACTACTATAGTGCTATCTTGACAAGAATCTGTTTCAACTTTACATGTGTCAATTGACCAACAGTACAAAGACCATGCAACTTGGAACGTCAACTAAGGCATATCCATGTTTATTTATTATATTCTTTGAGAAAGTTATGTGATTTACAAACTGAAAATATTAACTGTTGGAACAATGTTCTGCTATGTTTGTTTGATTACTTGCAAAGTTGTTTTAGTGGTATTTTTTAAAACTCTCTAAGCGTATATTTATTTATTTTGAACCCGATGCAACTCACGGGCACTTTTGCTAGTTCTAATTATAAACCTCCATGTTTGAAAGTTCCCACCCTTGGCCCGTAATCCTCCGGAGTTGTAGCAAAATTGACATCTCAGGAGCGGAAGAGCAGAAAGCTGAAACGGTTGTTTTGTATCCCTATACCAGTGTACCTTCTATCTAGATCATTCAGTTTGTGTTAAGATTCGTGCTATCCACAAGTTTCACAGGCACAAAAAAGCCGAAAGCTGAAACAACTCCTCAGCTAAAACTTTGTAGATCAACTATACACAAGTGTCACTCATTGTATAAAATATATATTTTAGTAAACATAAATTTGTCAAATTTCAAATTCCGAATGAATTGTACCAATTTTAAAATTTTATGTTGCGCTCAAAAATTCGAAACCTTTCTGTACATGATAGTACTTGTGTGTGATGTTTGATCTCCAAAGTTTCGAGTTTGAATGTTCTTTTGTTTGAGAAAAACAAAAAAAAAAGAGTTTTTCTTGCATCAACTTTTTTTGCGAGAAACTTTTGATCTACTCCTCTTCAATCATGGCAGTACAAAGAACAACAGAGGAAATAAAAATTACAACCATGTTCGTGGACCACCTAACGACGACTACAAGCACTGGAGCGAGCCGAAAGAGCGCCGCATCATTGCCCCGGCCTCACCGGAGCCGAGCAGACCTTGTTGTAGTAGACGTCGAGAAGTTGTCGTGCTAAGACCCCATAGGACCAGCGCACCAGAGTAGCAACCATCGTCGATGAAGAAAGTCGTAGATCAGAAGGATCAAACCTATAAACACCCAAACGAAGACGAACGAAGACCGATTCCAAACAGATCCATCGAAGACCAGCATCGACCGAATCATTCCATGATCACCTTTTCTTGCTGATTTCCGATTTAAAATTTTCTAGTATTGTACCTACCTATTAGCTGCAGGCTGTAATAGCTAGAGGGGAAGTGACATGTGACAAAAAAACTTGCGTCGCCTGAGGAACAGACGCTCCATGTTTTCATTGTCATAGGCCAATCTAGTTGACTGTTATATATCTATTTATATTTATACCTAATAATAACGCAAAAAAGTCTTTCTGTTTTATGTGAATTAACTCATACTTTTTTATTTAGAAAAGGAGGAAGACCCCAGCCTCTGCATCTGGGTGATGCATGCAGCCATTTTAAGTCACAGTAGAACCCCTTTTTTCATTTTTTTTCCAGAAAACTCACGACTTTTCAAGTAATCAATCCAAATTTTATCTAAAACAAAGTTATCCATATCTTTTAGACCATAAGTCCAATTTTCACATGTTATGTATGAAACTTGATTAGAAAAAATATGTAGAATCTAAATATGATGTTATTTTTAGTTGTAAATATTTTTAAAATATTATTTTGCTGTAAATTTAATATATATAGTGCATGGTCAATTTTTCTTTCGTACCAGCGGTGATTCGAATTGCAAATAAACACCCATTAAAACCAGATTGTGAAAACAAATTCAATAACCAAGCATGCACACAGATGAAAAACCTCGCCGGAAAAAACAACATATTTCTCATCTTAGTGTGCATGCATGCGCGCACAAGAGAGAGAGGGACACACGCACAGAGAGAGAGAGAGAGAGAGACGTCTTAGAATTGACCACATTCAAACACGTTTTTGTAGTGTGAGCACTGAGGCCATTGTCGGCAACACAAATGTAATGTCATGTGAAAATATGTGTCGAGGAGGTGGATCTATTAGAATCTTTTGTTGAGGAGATAGAGATGTCAAGGAGGTGGATCTATTAGAATCTTGAGTCATGTTCATTGGGTTAAAAATATGTGTTATTTTCTCTCACGTTGCAAGCTCTCTTGCTAGTGTATCCGAATGGAATCGCGCTAGGGAGATGAGCGACCAGATCCGGTTTGGCCGCCGATTGAGTGTAAGTGTATCACTGATTTACTAGTCCCTAGATTTGTCGTGCATCGAGCTAAAACTCACAAGAAGCCAACTAATTCATCTGTTAAGGCAAGCATCCAGGCGACCATCAAACATGCAAGTGGCAGGCGGCTAAGCGCCACGCCTTCGCCTCCGTGTCCATCGAGATCTGTCCGCCGGACGGTGCTATAAACAAACCTGCCGGCCACAAGCTTCACAAGACAACAGTGCACTGCACAGCTAGCAAATATTTGCCCTCTAGCATTCCAGCCATGAAGAGAATCGTCGTCCACATCCTGCTGGTGATGTCGCTCGGGGCGGCCCTCGTCATCGCCGGCCGCCCCGCCGGTACCTCCGGCGACGTGGCCGCCATTCGCCTTCCGAGCGACGGCCAAGGTGAGACCCTCAGATCAGATCGATATACACACGACTGAGTATGAGAGTATAATTTACACAGTTCGTACGTACCCTCCATTGATCTCTTGACCATGTGGTACAGGTCTTGGTTCCATGAAGAAGGTCCTCGAGGAGGGCGAGAGGCCGTGGGCATGCTGCGACCACACCCAGTGCCTGAGGGTGCTCCCGAGAGCCTGCCTCTGCCACGACACGGTGGCGCAGTGCGCCAGCGCGTGCCAGCACTGCGACGAGGTCAGCCATGGCCGCTACGTTTGCCTGGATTTGTACGAAGGTTGGCCCGGCCCAAAGTGCACGCACGAGGTGGACGTCGCCGCCGTCGGCAACTAGCTACCATAGCTAGCTACCATGGCACGTACGCGTACGTTTCGGCGTGTTGCCCTCTCTGTTGGCTTGTTGCTCCATGACCCACAGAGTAGTCCCAGTGCCTATCTATGTACCAGTTCAATTTCAACTCGCTTATCATGTGTAATAATAAAAAGGACGCGACTAGCAGGCAAACGTTTGCCCGCTAGCACCCCCTGGTAGCCTCCCATATTAGGTACGTTCTGGCCCCCCTGTCTAGATTTGGAAAGTGAATGGTCCCCGTCTCCTACGTCCTTCGTCCGCTCCAGCAAGAGGATTTCTCTGGACGTGTCATCCCACAACTTACCCCACACCCATCTTCTGCTTCTTTTCCACCACGCAAAGGGACACAGAGGAACAGTGTATCCTTCCCCCTTTTATAACCGGCCTCCACCCAAAGGTCCCTGCAATGGAGATCTTGGAAACTGAAAAGGGATCTACGGATCTAAAGACAAAAGGAATAGATAATAAAAAGTGAACCAGGGTGTAGAAGAGGAAAGAGAGAGAAGGTTTGATTTTTCCTGAATTTGTTCATCCTGATTACTCCAGTGTTTGCCCCTCATTTCTTCCATTTGCATGAGCAGCTAGTATTGATTTGTACTGGAAAGAATTAGTGAGCAACTATAGAGGTTTTTTAAGCAAATCAAGTATTGACAATAAGCAAATCATGTCAGTACAAGAAAACCGTTTCATTTTTCTTTCTCAAACTACTGGTTGTTGTACATCGAGAGAAACCCATTGATGCTTTTCAATTTCATAGGTTGCTTTTTGTACTTGGAATGTGTTGAAAAAACAAAAAAGAGCAGCAAAGTTCTAGGGTTTGTTTAAGCAAAATTAATGTTGCCAGTAAGCAACTCCTGTGTGTTTGCGCGTGCTAGAACTTGATATGTACGGGAAAAAAGTGTTAGCAACTATTGGCGGGTTTTTAAGCAAATCAAATAGTGATAATAAGCAAGTCATGTCAGTACATGAAAACTGTTTCGTTTTCATTTCCAACTATTGGATGTTGTACTTCCAGAGAAACCCCTTGATGTTTTTCTTAGGCTGTTTTTTGTACTGGAAGTGTGTTGCACAAACAAAAAAGAGCAACAACTTATGGTTTATTTAAGCAAAATCAGTGTTGCTAGTAAGCAATTCATGTGTGCTCATGCGTGCTAGAACTTGATGTGAAGGGGGGAAGTGTGACGCTGTGAGCAACTATTGGGGCACTTATAAGCGAATATGAAATGGGTGGGAGAAAGCAAAATCACAAAAGCTTGTTCATTTTTAGTTTGCTTTTATACAAAAATGATTCTGCCTGGAGAACAAACGGCAACAACTTTGATGGGTTTGTTTAAGAAAATCCAGCGCTATCATTAAGCAATTTGTGATATGATGTCATTAACTGACCAACCAGGCCCTTTATATTTAGTTGTATTGTAATCACCTGAAAAAAAACAATTGTAGGCAAGTTCAAATGCAAAATCGGGTAATCAAAAAACACTTGATCTCACTAGATAGTAAGGACCTAAGCTCCGGAACAGGATGTTGTGTGTCAGGTAATTCACACATTCAGATTCATTCAAAGTCACAGAGTTTGCCTAAAACACATCAGGCAAGTCGCATACTTAACACTAGCAAGACACATTGAAATGTCAAGCAAGTCCTACTCAAATGTCAAACAAACCATGTGGTGTTTTAAAAGGGGAAATGAAAAGGAGCTTACCTACAACTAGTGTTGTTGTGACTTGCTAGTGTTGAGTATATTACTTGCTTGACATTTGAATGTGACTTGCTTGTTATACATGTGTGATTTGCCTCACACACAACACCATCCCCCTCCCCCCTAGGTCTGTAGCTAACATTTGTATGTGACCTATCATTTGTGTTTAACTTGCTTGTTTTGTGTGTTAATTTCCTGGTCTATTAGTGTGTACTTTCCTAACCCCCGGTTTTTAGACCAAGTGTGTTGTGTTTGTGAACTTTGATATATGTGTGTGAGGTGCCTGAAAAAACAAAGCATGTGGATGTTTAAACAAGGGGGGAAAGGAGCTTACCCGGAGCTTGCTGTACTCTCCATTTGTTTCTTGCTCTTCAATGGCAGGACATGAATCATGGTCGGCAGATGAATTATGGTCAGGAGCAGCCACATGTTGTTCTCTCCAATTACATGTTTTTGCTGTCCCTGCCATTTTACCCACTAAAAAGGTAAAAACATCACCATAAATGTGTATTCAAGTGGCTTGCATGAAATTTCTAGGACACTATATAAAAAGAGCTAGCAAGTTTTGAACCATATGATGAAAATGTGAAGGAAAAGTAAAACATGAGCAAAGTACATTGTGTTAACAGAGGCAACTACCTACAGAGTGTTGGGCAAGTTTTGGCAAAACTCAAAGCCACCTAAGTAACAAAACCAATAAAAGCAAATTGTGAACCATGACAAGCAACTAAGTAACTAACATTATGCAAGTTTAGAATTGTTCATTATTTGAAGTATTTTACCCAGACACAAAAAGGCTCAATCTCCACCCGACATCAAAAACTGCTGCGCATTGTCCGCATAAAACATACAATGATAATGTGTTGTCTCATTCAATGATAATATGTTGTCACATTCAAAATTCAAGTATAAAATTACCCCCTAGATTATGCTGAAGTGTGAAGGAAAATAAAGGAGAGCAAGGTATTGAGGCAACTTCCTATAGTGTTAGGCATCTTTTCACGAAACTAAAAGCCACTAGGATTGAGTTTCATACAATCTGGTGCTTGTATGAAATCTTCCAGGGCACTGACTGAAAATAACTAGCACCGGAACTATATCAGGCACCCTAAGTAGCAAAACTAACACCCATTTAGGCAAATTCTGAACCATATCAGACAACTAAATAACAACCGGTAGGCAAGTTTTGTTACTTAGGATCAACAGCTACGCGCAAAAAACTCAAAACCTTGGGCAATTTGCGCAAGCATCTCTAGCAACTAACTATCATGTGTTGGGCAAGTTTTGGACACTTACGGCTCAAATCATCAATGGTTCAAGCCACACATCACCACACGCAAACCACCCTCACGCTCAAAATCATCGATTCACCCAAAAATCTGAGACCACACCCCCCCCTTCAACCTCCCTTTCCTGCTTCTATAAGGTAGAACCATAGATTTGAGTGGGAAAACACATTCTTAGGGGGGGCAATTCTGAGATAGTTGTCGGTGATTCGTGGCCCAATTCATTGACCACTAGCAACAACGCTTTATCGGTTCTAGCTCTTCCCCGCTAAGTGGTCGCGGCGCACAGATGACGCTCCCCCCAAGCTCTCGCTCCCGCTTTGCTTACTGGTTGCTGACACTCTAACACCTCTCTCCTCCCTCCACTTGCTGGTTGCCGCAAATCATATGCCAAAAATTGTAGGCATGTTCCTGACAATATTAGGCAAGTTAGTGTAGAATCACTGGATAGAAGAAAGCATATTTCTTAGCTAGAACTGAATAGCCAAAAATGTTATAGATTGTAGGCAAATCATATGCCATAATGTTGAGGATGCAGCAGAGACAAAAAACTACAGTCAGTACTTAAAAATCTACTATAATCAATCCTTTATGCTTTGTAGTATATCAATTTTGAAAATGCAAAATATTGTAACTACTACAACACCAATCCGGTTACAACTTGGCCGCTTGCACTGAATTCAGTCCCTCCCCTCCCTCTTACTATCCAAACGCTGACAGAGGCAGATCACTATTGTTCTTCCTGAGAGTGCAAACCATAGAAATGATCACGTTCTCAAGATGGTCGCTGCTTCACCTTTCCATGGCCCATCCAATGGAGACGAGCACATTTTATCTAGTACAACAAGGTACAACAACACATCATGCCATCAGTGCAGCACTATCATATGCACATGCTACTAATTTCCACAAGCAGGCAAAGTTGTGCTCTGATCTAAGAAAATTGCATACTATATCCTGGCAAATCAGGTTTTGTTTAGAAAAAGGATTAAAAGGTAGCAACTCATACTGGGTTATTAGACAATTTCCATAGATTCTACAAGCAACTCATTAGCTTTCTTGCCAAAGAAAATAGTGGATACAAACTGCCTGACGACCCATTGAGCAAGCATTAAAACAACCCAAAGCTACAATGCACCTCAATAGAATCATTACCCATAGGGGGAGCACAATTGCAGAATAGGAAGGAGAGAAAGAAACCACTTCTTCAAATTGCAGCCATCACCAGCAACAGTTCAAGAGAAAAGGCACCAGCACCATCATCCACCTTCTACTTCGATGCAATTTTTCTTCTCTAGTTCAAGCTAAAGCCAGCACCTGTACACGATCACGAGTAGAAGTTCAGACATCGGAGCTGGGGTAGCTGTAGGGTGCAGCAGCAGATGGGAGTAGGGAGAAGGAGGTGCACCGGCAGGAGGTCGAGGCCATCCCGGGTGCGGCCAGCGGCGAGATGCGGGAGAGGAAGAGACCCGCTGCGACGTTGTCGGGGCGAGCGACCCTGAATGAGGAGCATGGGGGCAGTGCACACTCGCCTTCCTCGTGGAGATGGGTGCGCCCTCGCCTTCCGAGGATGCGAAGGCCGCCCACACGAATATGGCCTTGTCGCGGGAGGACGGAGGAGCTCGCCGGAGTCGAGCATCGCGGCGACCGCCGAGACGACGACGGCGGAGTGCGACGCCGTCAGGAACCCGACGGATTCCGCGAGCGAGTCCAGTGCCGCGGCGCGGGAGACGGCCGAACAAAGATGGAGGCGGGGGAGCAGGCTGTCGGATCTGTCACCTTGGCCCCCGACGTCGGCTGGGTAGACGAGCAGGCGCTCGTGGAGTGCGGCGCGGCCGGCGCCGCGGATCGACGAACACAGCGGTGGATTTGGGAGGAGAAACTGTCGTGTGCTTGTGGTGGATGGGGGCGTGGGTTTGGGTGAGGCCCACTGCGCTGTCTGTCGTCTCCTTCGCTCCGTAAACCAACGGTGAAAGACCTGGCGATTGGGATCCTGA